TTGTGGAAGGACAGGGAGGACATCATACAAGAAGAAAGCAAAAGGTCGTTCACAAGACAGGGAAGGGAAGACAAGACCAACACAGACGTCAGAAGAGGTGCTGAATGTAGAGTGGAAGACATGAAGTACAAGAGGACGACGGAAGAACCCACAGGGTCGCTTAAGTAGAAAAAGTAAAAACAGTATACTGAAATGTGCAAAGACCTGGAAAAATATACTCTGCATTCCTCAAGCGGAACTGAACAAAAGAGTCAAGCCTCTGGTGGCAGTCTTGAAGGATTTGACGGGCAGAGGACTGAACAGTGCAAGAAGTATCAAGAGAAGACGGGAGGCCACAGAATTCAAAATAAGATGAAAGAAATTGAAAACGATGTAAGAACTATACAGAGTCAGTGTAACAAAGGAATTGACAAATGTCCAACCCTTTCAGGAGATAGCAGAGGATCGAGAACCACCGGCGTTGAAGGAAGACGCCCAAGTTACACTGAAGGGCGTGAGTGAAAACAAGAATCCAAGAGCTGATGGAATACCAGCTGAGGCGTTTCAACAAATGGATACAGCCGGAAGTGATCGCTCATGTATGCCAAGAAATTTTAAAGACCGCTACCTGGCCTACTATCCTGGAGAGAGCCATATGTGCGCCCATTCCACAGAAAGGTGACCCAACCGAATGCAGAAATGATTGCACAGTGTCATTGACATCACATGCAAGTAGCGTTTTGCTGGAGTTTAAAAAGTGGTGGCAGCGGTACATTGACAGGGACCTGCCGGAATTCCAGGTTGGATTCAGACTTGGATGGAAAGCGAGCTCATTGCTGACGTCAGATGGATCTTGGCTGCAAGAAGGCAACGGAACCAGAAAGATGTTGACTTGTGTTGTATCGACGGCTTAGAGGCATTTGATTGTGTGAATCGTAACCAATGACGGATAGCATTGCCAAGAATGGCACTCTAGAACACTAAATCACACCGGACAAGGTATGGAATGTCCTCGACGAATCATTCTCATAGCCACTTCTTACGATGCCGCCCCCACGACCCTGTCTCTTTTAATCATCTTCAGGAGTATCCCCCTTTAGCCCCACAAGACCCCCATGAAGGACGGGCAGGTAGGGCCGTCCCAGCAAGGCCAGGAAGCAACTGGGAACCAGATCACCAATTGCTCATATGCAAGTTCAAGTGGAAACTGAAGAAAACGAGAATAGGTCCATGAAGTTTATCTCCCCTGAATTTAGGGACCATCTCAAAAATAGATTTGACCGACGGAACGCGAATGACTGGCACCCGGAGTTGAGGAACCCCGTGAAGGACATGATTGTGGTTCAGAGGAGCCCACTGAGGCACAGAGAGGCTCAGCTAAGGGTCCTCGAAGCAGGAAGTGGGAGACACGAGGCCAGAGCCGGGTTTCCACAGAGGGGACAGTTGGAGAACAGTGAGGTCCCTGCGTGCTTAGAATAGCCACGACACGCACTCCGACTGTCCGTGGAGTTGTGGAAGGTGAAAGTCTGATCTCACTGCTGTTCAAACATACGAACCTTAAAGGAGAAGGCAGGTTTCCGATAACCTGTACAAGTACAATTACTGGACCCGACAAGATAGTGAGGCCTGGTCCCCCGGGGTGAGATCCTCATACTCAGAAAGGGCCTGTACCCCAAGAGTGAAGTCTGTGTATTCGGAAGGGGCCTGTACCCCAAGAATGCGGTCCGCGTACCCAGAAAGAGCCCGGACCCCAAGAGTGAGGTCTGTGTACCCAGGCTGAGCTGGGAAGCACCCAGGGATTGAGGCTGTGTGCACCCCTGGAATGGGTCTTATTTCCACCCGACCCTCTAGGCGCAGGTCCGCAGACCTGCTGGACTGCGGACCCGGGCTCCGGGCTGCAGCGTTGCCATGGAGACGGGGACCTGCGGGCGCGGCTGTGCGCAGGCGCGGGCGGTGCAGTCTCGTCGCAGCGGAACTGCTGAGGTTTCGGCGGCGGAGCGTGCACAGTCGCGGCGGCAGCGGCA